AGCAATTTAAAACCCTGCCAATGCCATCTGGCCAATCCCTGCTTCTATACCACTAATGTACAAAGGGCAGACAAGAAACATGTACACGCTAAGGGTTCAGAGTTCCTTTTTACTCACCACACAATGAATTCCTTAGTGGTGGAAGCCACATGCCAGCGCATGAAGCACTGACATTTCCAAATAAGGACAGTGATAGAAATGTAGCCGTGTTAGTCTGGGGTAGCTGAAGCAAAATGCAGGACAATGTAGCACTTTAAAGACTAACAAGATGGTTTATTAGATGATGAGCTTTCGTGGGCCAGACCCACTTCCTCAGATCAAATAGTGGAAGAAAATAGTCACAACCATATATACCAAAGGATACAATTAAAAAAAAATGAACACATATGAAAAGGACAAATCACATTTCAGAACAGGAGGGGGATGCAGGCGGGGGGGAGGAAGGAAGGTAAGTGTCTGTGAATTGATGATATTAGAGGTGGGGAGAGTGGGATGTTTGTGAGTTAATGGTATTAGAGGGGATAATTGGGGAAGCTATCTTGGTAATGGGTAAGATAGCTTGAGTGTTTGTTCATTCCTTTTTGGAGAGTGTCGAATTTTAACATGAATGTTAAGGACATTCATGTTAAATAAGGACAGTGAGAGACTTAACCTCTTTGATTGCAAAGTCTACACATCCTCAACACTACTGGTCAGGATTTTGAATTATTCAGCTTTACTAGACAAATATGATCTTAAGAATTATGCCAAACTAATGGACTTTGCAGAGATAAAGAGACCACAATTTAGAGCCATTGTGGCTGAGGGACAGATCATTTCCGCCACTGCTTTCCAAGCTGTGTTGGATGCTGCGGATACAGCTGCCAGGACTACTGCAATGGCCATTGTTATGTGCTGGGCCTCCAAGTTCTCCCCAGCCACGTTCCCTTGGGAGATCCAGTCTACTGTGGAGAAGCTGCCCTTTGATGGTGACAAACTGTTCTCTAGCAAAACTAATGAGGTGCTCAATACCATGAAGGACTCACACACCACCCTTCGCACTATAGGCATCCACATACCTGCCAATAGATGTCGCCAGTACCATTATCAACGATAACCAGGCCGGGAATAGAGCCTGCCCTCAAAGATGCAGGCAGCCTTCAGGCTCAGTGTCACAACCACCATCTACCAGGAAGCAAATTGAGGCCTTAGTCAAGCTCCTGGAAACCCCCCTCCCCCCCAGTATTTTCAATGCCATTTGTGACCATACGTACATTTCAAAACTGTCTCCACCCATTTTACCATCAGTGGGTCACTGTCACCTCAGACAAATGGGTGCTTGATATCATCCTCTCGGGCTACTCTATCCCTTTCCTCTGCAGGGATCTCAAAGAACTCCAGTTACTGCATGAGGTGTGTAAACTTCGTATCTGATCTAGGAAAAAAAATTATTTCTGACCCCAAATATGGTGATCAGTTAGACTTTGAGCATGTGGGCAAGGCCCACCAGCCAGATACCTGGGAAAGAATTCTCAGTAATAACTCAGAGCCCTCCCTATCTAGTGTCCCATCCCCAGCCATAGGAGGATATGTCTACACTACCCTCCTAATTCGAAATAGGAGGGTAATGTAGTCATACCGCAATTGCAAATGAAGCCCGGGATTTGAATTTCCCGGGCTTCATTTGCATAAAGCCGGCCGGCGCCATTTTTAAATGCCGGCAGTTCGAACCCCGTGCCGCGTGTAGCCGCGCGGCACGGGGTTCGAACTGCCGGCATTTAAAAATGGCGCCGGCCAGCTTTATGCAAATGAAGCCCGGGATTTGAATTTCCCGGGCTTCATTTGCAATTGCGGTATGACTACATTACCCTCCTATTTCGAATTAGGAGGGTAGTGTAGACATACCCTGAGATATTTGCTGCTAGCAGTCACTGGTTGGCTACATGCCATTGTACGCAGTCTCATCATATCATCCTCTCCACAAACCTGTCAAGTTCAATCTTGAAGCCCTTCTCTGCACCTATTGCCATTTGAATTCATCCTTCTTAAATGTGAGACACCAGAATTACCCATTGTTTTCCAGATGAGCTCTCACCAGTGCCTTGTATAATGATTCTAACACTTCCCTGTATCTGCTGGAAATAACTTGCCTGTTACAGCCTTGGACTGCATTAACCATCCTACAATCAACCAATACACTCAGGTCTGTTCCCTCCTCTGTCACTTCCAACTGCTAATTCCCCAATGTATAAATACTTATTAGGCCTTAAGTGCACAAGTTTGCACTATGCACTATTAAATTTAATCTGATTTCTATTACTCCAGTTTACAAGGCCCTCCAAATCATCATCTATGATATTCAGGTCCTCCTCTATATTGGCAATACCTCCCCTTGCAGCAAATTTTATTAGCACATGTCCACTTTCTATGCCAAGATCGCTAATAAAAACGTGAAATAAGTTTGATCTCCCAAACCAATCCCTGAGAAACTCCATTAGTTTAGTAATCTTCCTCCAACTTGCTAGTTCATCTTTCAGTATGGCACATTATAATGTTCCCTGTGACGGTTCCCGCCCCTCTTTACAAAAATGACTTATGGACACAAATATGTATAATTTGAAGATGCTTTGGACAAAATGTAACCTATCAATTTCAATGTCTCAGTGTGCTGGATTTGTATAGCTTACTTTGGTGTATGTGTTATTCTTGTATGTAAAGTTAGAAATATGGAGTATGAAATGTATGGTTTTAAATGTGCAAATGAAAGCCATCAAAGGTGTTTCCCTCAATGTCTGGTCGTTCCCCTGCAAACAGCCTCCTTTGTCCTTTAAGTCTTAGCAGGTGTTGGTCTTGGGAACACAAGTGACCTAACCAGTACAGTCTGACCAGGTAATTTTCCTTGGAAGGGTGGAATGTAGAGACAAAGAATTCTCACCCAAAAGGAAGGCCATTTAAGATGCAAAGTTTTCAGGGCCCTGGCCTTTGGCTGGCATGTCACACCCAAGAGAATGAACCAGAAACCCCCAGGGAAAAAAGAACTTCCTTGGAATGGAGTTTTAGCTGGAACAAGAACAGTTTTGTAAGTTTATACTGAGGTTTTAGTGTGTTAGAACTAGCTGTGTGTTTTCTGTTATTTTAAAAATGTCATCTACTTTACTCTGCTTGTTTTCGCTTCCATCTACTTAAATCCTACTGCTTGTACTTAGTACGATCACTTTAATTGTCTGTCAAGCCCAATGTAAATAATTGCTACCTGGGGGAGCAATCAGTGTAGGCATCCTCCTTCCATTGCTAAAGGGGGCTCACCTGAATGATTTATTTGGGGTTCCGATCCCATTTGGGAAGTGGTTTCTCTGGAGCTGAGCCCGAAACTACATTCTCCTCAGACCTGAAGAGTTTCAGTGTCTGTACTGCTCTTTGCGAAGGCAGTGATCTCAACTCAGAGCCTGTGCTGGGTGGGACCAGGAGATCTAGCCAAGAACAACAGGGTGGTGAGAAGCCCCAGAGAGCAAGGAGGTGAGTGCCAGTGGCTTTGTCAGCACACCAAGAAGCACCCCCAAGGGGTTTTCTGTGACTGCCTCTGTAATGCCCTTTTTAATCAGTTCCTTATCCACCTTTCAGTTTTCATATCAATTCCCATCATCTTCAATTTAAGGCGTTATAACAAATACCTTACTGAAATCTAGGGAGCACTGCATTTCCTTTATCTAAAATAATTGGTTATCTTCTCAAAGTATTCTCACGCATCTTCCAAGTATTCCAAGTATCTTCTCAAAGAAAGATAAGATTGGTCTGGACTCAGGCACAATCTACTTTTAGTAAAAGCACATTATATTTTATCCCAATGACTATATACCCCATGTCGTTAACTATTTTTTCTGAGTACTTGTTCTGCTCTCTCTGTGGGGAGTAGTTCATACACACGTAAGTCCTCCCCATTGTTTCTCCCCAGAATGACCACAGGCTTCCTTAAAATCTTCCAGCGGACGTGGCTGTTAGTCATATGCTTCCCCGTCACATAACCCAGTATTCTAAGTATCTTCTCAAAGAAAGATCAGGTTGGTCTGGACTCTGGCACAATCTACTTTTTAGTAAAAGCACATTATATTTTATCCCAATGACTATATATCCCATGTCAAATTCTCAACCCAGGTGCAAATTCTCTTCATCCAGAAAGTTAACTAAATCTGGCACAACTGTGACTGAGCCCCAACCTTCTTGAATGATTGACTTACTTCATACCCTACTCTTTAAATGGTCAGTCCATGCCTTAACTGTATTCATTTCTCTGGGAAATGTATTTAAAATGGCTTCAGGGATTGGCATGAAACACACAAAGAGATTTGTCTTTGGGCCAAATGACAAGAGTTTAATTTCTTGAGCTCTTCACCTTTTTTACCAAAGGTCGAGTGGAAAACTGATACAGTGAAGGGACAATACATTACCTATTGGATCGAAACAGGTGTGTAATACAGACAAATTAAAATCCTAGTACAAATTATGTTTTTAGCAGGCTTGCAAAAGAGCTACTTCAGGGTAACACAGAGGCATTTTAAAAAGCCTTCAGTTTTTCAATTTGAGCATTCTAAAGCAGTAAAATATTTTGGTCCAGATTTGTTCAGGGAAGTAATACTTTTGTCCTCCTCCCCTCTCCAGTCCAGATAAAGCAGAATTCATGAAAGATTGTGAAAGCTCATACTCCAGCTGGAAGTTCTCTGGTGATTTTCGAACCTGGGTCAAAATGTCCTTGGTGAAAACAAAAGAGGAAGATGGGAGTGAAACTGTGGAATTCAAACAGGAGGTAAGTAGTACTCTGTAACGGTTTTCTAAATGTGTCAGAACACAGCTCATTTTCATTCTGTACATGTTGCGAGAATCATTCCATACATACAGTGCTGCATTAGTAATCTTGTTTAATAGAGTTCCTTAGGGTAGCATGGCTTTGAAGATGCTAACTGAGATGCACAGTGGCAGATAAAATTGACTTTCATGTTTCATTAGTCCTTATGCCAGATCACCAATGAGCAGCTTCATCACTTTCCCACATTTCATAAAACTACAACACAGCAAAGAATTTATATTGCCCTTATGGCTTTACTAGAATCAGAGAATCCTAGAGCTGGAAGAGACCTCAGGCGGTCATCCAGTCCAGCCCCCTGCCCAAAGCAGGACCAGTCCCAACTAAATCATCCCAGCCAGGGTCTTGTCAAGCCAAGACTTAAACACCTCTAGGGATGGAGATTCCACTACTTCCCTAGGTTACCCATCCCAGTACTTCACCACCCTCCTAGTGAAATACTTTTTCCTAATATTCAACCTGGACTTTCCCCACTGTAACTTGAGACCATTGCTCCTTGTTCTGCTATCCGTCACTACTGTTAACAGCCTCTCTCCATCCTCTTTGGAACCTCCCTTCAGGAAGTTGAAGGCTACTATCAAATCCCCCCTCACTCTGCTCTTCTGCAGACTAAACAAACCCAAATCTCTCAGCCTCTCCTCATAAGTCATATGCTCCAGCCTCCTAATCATTTTGGTTGCCCTCTCCAATGTGTCCACATCCTTTCCATAGTGGGGAGCCCAGAGCTGGACGCAGTACTCCAGATTTGGCCTCACCAGAGCTGAATAAAGGGGAATAATCACTTCTCTAGATCTGCTGGCAATACTCCGCCTAATATGCCATTAGCCTTCTTAGCTACAAGGGCACACTGTTGACTTATGTCCATCTTCTCATCCACTTTAATCCCCAGGTCCTTTTCTGCTGAACTGCTACTTACGACAGTTCGTCCCCAGCATGTAACAATGCTTGGGATTCTTCCGTCCCAAATACCTGACTCTGCACTTGTCCTTGTTGAACCTCATCAAATTTCTTTTGGCCCAATTCTCCAGTTTGTCTAGGTGGTCTGGAAAAACTTGCCTGAACAGAGAAGCCAAGACACTCAAGGATCAGAGTAATAATAAAGAATGAGATGGTCTACACTAGAAATTAGACAGATTTAACTACATCCATTAAGGGTGTGAAGCTCAGCTCTGTGAGGCTATGTCTAGACTACAATGATTTATCGGAAAAAGGTATGCAAATTGCACTCCGCAGTTTGCTTATCTTTTTTGATAGTTTTTTCGGAAGAGGCTTTTCTAAAATTTGGCCCATCTACACTGGGCAAATTTCAGAAAAACCTCCCCTTTCAGAAGAGTGCTTCCGAAAGAGCATGTCTGTTCTTCCGCAAGCAAACAAGCAAAAAAAGCAGAAGAGCAGAACTGTTCCCTGGATGCAGCAGAGGGTTTTTTTGGGATTCCTCCGGTATCCAGGAAAAACTGCGTAGTGTCAGCATATCCTGAGAGGCATTGTTAAGCTCTCCTAAGTCTCCTGGAGATAGCATTAGGTCTATGGAAGAACTGCCTTTCAAAGATGTGGATTACTTCGATGAGCTGATGAACAGAGCCTTAACACATTCAATCCATTTTGGCCAATTTCACACTCATAGAATTTTAAAAATCAAATTGCATGATTTCAGCTATTTAAATCTGAAATGTCATGGTATTGTAATTGTGGGGGTCCTGACCCAAAAATGAGTTGTCTGCGAATGGGGGGATCTCACAAGGTTATTATAGAGTGGATGGTGGTATCTGCTACCCTTATTTCTGGAGTTGCTGGTAGTGGTGGTGATGTGTTCCGAGCTGGGCAGCTGGAGAGCAATGGCTGCTGGCCAGCAGCCCAGCTCTGAAGGCAGAGCCACCACCAGCAGTAGAGTAGAAGTAAGGATGGCATAATGTAGTTCTGCCACTTTTATTTTTGTGCTGCTGCCTGCAGACTTGGGCCCTCAGGCAGCAGCCACCACTCTGGCCACCAGCTCTGAAGGCAGCAGCACAGAAGTAAGGGTGACACGGTGTGGCATTACTTACCACTTACTGCTGCTGACAGGGCATGCCTCAGATCTGGGTGCCACTGCTCTCTGGCCACCTAGCTCTGAAGGCAGCACAGGAATAAGAGTGGCAATATCATGTCACCACCTCCCCCTCCCCCTGCTAAAAAAAACCTTGCAACCTCCCTGTAATTCCCCTTTTGAGAATTGCTGTTCTCCTCTGTGAAATCTGTATAGTACAGGGTAAAAGCACGCAAAAGACCGGATTTTACAGTCCAGGATGTGTTTTTCATGGCTGTGAATTTGGTAGGGCTCTACCAATTAGAGAACCCCTCCCATCTGTGTAGATCTCTTTCTCCAGGGTTAGCCCCTCGTGGGCTGCTGCCACTTTATTTACCTACACCATCACAGGTACGGGTGATTGCAGCTCCCATTGGACAGAAACAGTGATATGTAGTAAATGGGAGCTCTGATACCCTCTTACCAGTGGAGGCACAGGTAAATGCAGTGGTTGGGGGGATGGTCTATGAGAGCTAACCTTGGCAGACCCACATCCAGTCCATGGACCAGTATTTGCCCACCCCTGCTGTAGACAGTTCCAATATTGAAGCGTTACAGTGGTGCTGTAGCATTTTAAATATAGATAAGCCCTAACTTGTCTCATTCCCTATGATGTTTGGAAGGAGGCATCTGCAAAATCAGTTAGAACTGCAATTGCCTTGTATGAAAACTGCCTTCTGTGCAACTGCCAGCTGTGACTGGCAGGTGAAGCATTTCTTTGCTAAGAGCAGGAGACTATAGACATTTGGTTTTAGAAGAGCATGTGTGTTAACTTGTTGCATAATTGGAAAGAGAAATATTCACTGGGACATACTCTGTTTTCCTCTTTGGATGACGTGTCTTTCAGTTCACAAACTCAGCTTCTCTGTGCAGAAGCAACATGGGGCACTTGCAAAGCTCCAAAGCAGTGATGTCAGGAAAAGAGTATCCTATAGGAGAGGAATTCCAAAGCCAGAATGTAGTAAGAGTTTAAAAAAAAAAAAAAAAAGGTTGAGCAATGAAATTCAGAGTTAACCAGAAAAAGCATTTTTAGAAATCTGTTCAATATGTAAAAGCAAATCATGGGTTTACAGGATAGATGGTGTGGGTCTTGAGGATTAAACTAAGCTTCCTAGTGGTACACCCTTATACTGGAGGATGAGTTAAGTTTGTTAAGTCTGGCTATGAGGTAATGAGAAACAAGACTTATTGACATTGAAAACACTTTAGGTCAGTGCAAAGTAGACCTTGCTACAGCTTATACTGAGATTCTAGAGAAATCCAGATACTGACTAAATTGTGAACAAGTCATTCAGTGACAGTATTTCCCATGCTTGAGAGCACTGCTGGATAAGTTTGTTCCCTTACTAACAATAGTACCTGAAATCAGGATGATCTACCATGAAGCTCTTTTTTACCTTGTAATCCTCCAGAATCTGATATTTCAGCATCTTGAATGTTTGCAAGAGAACAACAAAGCCTTATTGGAGGTGGAGTCAACTTGTGACTTTTAATGACCATCCACTGAGCTTGACTCAAGGAATTCCTTTCCATGTGAACCCTTGTCCCTTGGAAGAACAGCAGATCCTTGAGATGATTTACACGGACTCCTTGAAATGACCTTTTTTCCATCTAAATAAGGAGATTTATGCCACTGTTCTGAGCAGGCCCTGCCAAAGACTTTGCGGGACACAAGGCAGCACACTATGGTTGGCTGAGCTGCATGGCTGCGCAGCTCCCAGTCAGGGCAGTGAGTGAGCGGCTGGGTGGGTGGAGCCGGGAGCTGGGCAGTGTGAGGCCCTGAATGCACGGGGCTGTGGGGCTCAAGGCAACTGCCTCACTCACCTTGCTCAAAGGCCAGGCCTGGTTCTGAGGGTTCCTGATACAATTGTATATTCTTCTAATACTGCTCTCGTTACTGTATTCTGTCCCATGGGACTGGTTCGCCCAATGCAACGAAGAATGTAGCATTTCAGCTTAGTAATGGTTTTATATACAGGCAGTCCCCGACTTACATGGATCCGACTTACGTTGGATCCCTAGATACGAACGGGGTGAGGCAACTCCCGCACATGCGCAGCAGCATTCCCGGGGCTCGCTCACCTGGGTCCTAGGATCCTCCTCCTCCTCGGGCCGGCTCCGACTGGGGTCCCGACAGCATATTAATAGACGATCCTACTCTCAATCTTTACACAGTCGACAGAACAAATTGAAGACATTTCTGATTAATTAAGGAGAGATTCATCTTAGTTTAAAAACCAGACATAAGGCTCTTTTGCCTATGCCACTCATTTAAATGTTTACATACACGGTTTCTTTAGGGCTGTATATTAAAATAGGGACAACAGCAACTCCAACATTTTATTACTATGAGAAAAATCCACCACTTGGAAGTAAATTTGCATACCTTTCACAGTTCAATTGCTAGGGTGGCTTATTCTCCATAGAGACTTTGCCTGCAGTGTTGTGGTTCAGACAACTCTGGGGGATTGTTTGAATGGGAGAAGTCTATGAACTACATCTGAAATCATTAACAAGTGACCTGATTCTGCAACCCTTACTTATAAAATAGTCTTAATGCATTTTCTCATCATTTACAGTTATTTGGGATCTACCAGCTCATTAACTATGACCTAAGTTTTTACCTTGAGCAGGGACTGTGCCCTCATTTGTGTGGCTCTCTCATACTCGGCAAATTACAGGCAGTCCCCGGGTTACATGGATCCGACTTACATCGGATCCCTACTTACAAACGGGGTGAGGCAACCCCGCACTAGCTGCTTCCCCCCAGCAGACCAGGGAGACGTGGAGCGGCTTTTCTCAGCAGACACCTCAGCTTGCGAATAAAGGACTGAGGGAAGTGAGGTGTGGGAGAATAAAACTGAGTTCTGGAGAAATGTTT